TTGGTTTCAATTTTAAGAAAAAAGTTTTGTTTGGTTTCAATTTTCAGAAATTATTTTTAGATGGATTTTCATTTATTTTTATTGAACTTTTTTCATATTTTGATCATTTTGTTTTAATTTTTAGATATATCAAGATTAGATACACAAAAAATAATAAAGTTTCGCTAAAATATTAAAAAAAAATATTAAAAACAAATGAAAACCTGAAAAAAAAAATGCACACAATTTTTTTTCCGAATTTTTGTTTATTTTTATTGATATTTTTTAACATTTAAGTTAGTTTTTTAATTTTAAATGTATCTTAATTAAGTACATTTTAAAAATATACAAAAATTCATTAAAAATATCAAAAACTCATCTAAAACAGTTTTTGGAGAAAAAAAAAAAATCTAAATTCAAAACCCAAATGGTCCCCAAAATTTGAAATCCCCCTCCACTGTCGATAGCTTCTCCCTCCAAAATCTTTCATATTTTCAAAACCAAAACACCCCTCCTCTCTCTCTCACTAGGGATGTAATAATGGCTCAGCCTAACCCATCCTGGCTCGGCCTAACCCATCCTGGCTCGGGCTCGTACCGGCCCAAGCGGGCCTCGCAGGCTCTTACTTTTTTAGTGGGCTGGCCAAAAAGTGGCATCCAGGCCTAAGCCTAAGCCCACTCATAATCAGGCCGGCGGGCCTAGGCTCAGGCCGCAGCTAGTCGGGCTTTTTTTTTTTGGAAAAATAAACAATAAATATATTATCTATATAGATTATTTATTAGAATTAAAAAATAAAAGAAAAATTATACTAGAGTAATTTAGTTAAGATTAATGAGATGTTTTGCTTGGTTATGTTTAATGATGATATTTAAATTTAATTATGTATGAATTATGTTTTTGTAATTATGAACTTATAACTAAAAAGGTATGCAATTATGTAATTTGTTTATTTCGAAATGAATAATTTTATGCATATGAAAATGAAACTTTCAATATTATAATATTAAATTAATTGTATAATATTTATTGAATGAATAATTTTTATTTGAAAATGAAATAAAATACTACAAAAATTTATTTTATAAATAAAATAGGTGTAGATTATTGATGATCATAGAACAATTGCATTACTATAAATCAAGTACATCCCAACTAGGTTGACACTTACTAGCCTACCAATTATTTGCATTATACTCCGCATCAATAATCTAATACAAAAAAAGAAAAAGAAAAAAGAAATGAAATGAATAGTAAAAAATAAATGGTTGATCAATCATCGGAGGAGACAAACATTTCAGTCGTGTTGCCCGAGGATATGTAATCCAAATCATTTTGAATTCGTTCATTTTTACTATAATTTTGTCTTCTTGCAAACGCATGTATATGATCTCTGGATATCATCAGTGCCTCAACCAAAGCCTGCTCTAGTAATCGCTCAGCACCTATCCACCTGCACTAAAAGTTGTTTGCGAAGCAACTGTAGAAATAGGAACGGTTAGTATATCACGGGCCATCTATGAAACCACATGCCACATAGTTTTCATTTTGTTGCTATCATTCCAAAATGTCAAAATTATCGGAATCATCCACTGACGGACTTTCCAAATAACGTTGTAGTTCAGAACTACTTACGCTTGTATGTTGAGATATTCTTCTACTTTTTATTACTGAAAAAATACTTAATCTCCCACCTCAAGATGAGACTGCTAGTATAGTGTGTGTAGGTGTATTTACAGATGCAGTTGCCCTGTATTATTCAAATAATTTGTTGGATGTTTGCATAATATAGGCAAACTGTGTTTGATCAACGAAAATACATTCTAAAATTTTTTATAAACCAATTTATTTACACCAATGATCAATTATTATGGCTAAACCTAAAAGATGAGGGAAATAATCAAAATATTTATCAAATTTTACTTTCATTGAAGTAATAATGGTTACATAATATTCATTACTCATATATTTTATGAAAATTTTAATTATTTCTGCTAGCATATGTAAAACAAATGGTAGAGTAGGAATATATATATATATATATAACAAAATAATTTTGTTGAAGTATTAAAAACTTTTAAAAAATCTTTATACAAGGCTACTTGGCACCAATTAAGTTCTGTAGGAGTCAGTACTCCTCCTATTGATGTTGTTGGAAAAAATAAATATATTCCTCTTATTTGTTTACAAGCTATTTTTAATATATTATACGTTGAATTTCACCTGCTATCTACATCTAAAATTAATTTTCTAAATGGCATATTTTCTTATCGACAAATTTTTTTATATTCCAAAATTCGATTAGCAGAAGACATAATAGTAACAACTGTATTTTTTATTACAAGTACAAAAGTCTCGTATACATACATAGCTTTTTTAACAATCAAATTTAAAATATGGGCACAACAACAAACATGAAATAAATCACCATCAACAAGTAATTGTAAAGTTAATTTTAAATGAATTACAGTTTAATTATAATATACTTCATTATCTAAACTAATCGTAAATATTTTATTTTGTAAAACTCACTCATATAATACATTTCTTATTTCTACACCAAGCAAATGACTATTGTATGAAAGTTCAACTAATTTAAATGAGATAATTCTTTTATTTAATTTCCAATCATTATTAATAAAATGTGCAGTGATACATTGATATTCAAAACCATTATTTGACCATAGATCAGATGTTAAACAAACTTTTCCGTTCAAATTTTTAAAGATGTCAAATAATTCATTTTTAATATCCTCAAATTTTTTAAAAATCCTGTTTTTAGTAGTATTTCTTGAGAAACTTTGATATTACTGTGCAAAACTTTCATGAATCATTTCGGTAAAATCGGGACATTCACTAGTAGTAAAAGATTGTTCTTTTTTAATAATATAATCAACTACATAATTTTGTGCACGTATAAGATCATATAAAAATATTTGCAAATTATTAGTTGATGAAGCTCTAATTGCATTTGACTTCTAATATTAGATTGTTGACTTTGTAAATGTTTGTTAGCATGCCTTTTTAAATGACTAGTACCCCTGCAGATGCAGCACTAAGTAAATGTGCACAATATTTACATTTTGCTTTAAATGTAATTGTACCATCAAGATTATTTATAAATATTTTTTTCAAAATGTTTTCAAACAGTACTAGTTGTGCCTCTAGATGATGATCCAACTGTTGGAAGATGGATATTAGAAGGAGAATCAACAAATTTATTATGTGTAGTATATGTATCAATATCGACATAAATATTAGGAATATTAGGATCCATAATAATGTAAGTAAAACAATATATAAGAATTAACAATTAATTTAAATAATGTGTACATATAATGAGTAAAAAATAATAATTAATATATGTGCGCAAATAATTAATGAAAAAAATGAGTAGCTAATAAATTTAATTAAAGTAATTAATGTTACCGACTGGCGAATGTGATACAGAAATTAGCTTCTTCTGATAAAAGTTTCTTGTTGCACAATTGCAATTGTAACTTAAGGATGACACTTCAAAATTAATTGAGAGTTGAGAGAGATTGAGAGAGTTTAAGAGAGAGAGAGAGAGAGAGATTATTTGTGAGATTTATTTTGGAAAATGGAGGATATTTATAATAGTTTGAAAGAGTGAAGTAAATCTATAATATATATATTGAGAGAGAGAGAGAGAGAGAGAAAGAGAGAGGGGCTTCGTTTGGGAAGAAAAAAGTTGGTCTTTTTTGGCTAAAATAGCCACAAAAAAACAAAATATGTTTTTTAACCCAATCAGATAAAACATTATATCAAACCCATAATCATTACATTCTTTCTCTCATAAAAAGTCACAAAAACCAAAAAGTCTTTCCCAAACGAGACTTTTTAGCCCCAGGCTAAAATAGCTAAAAAAGCAACCCACTTCCCAAATGAACCCATATTACTGTTATAGTAAATGGTAATATGACCATTTGAATATTTATTATTATTATTTTTTTTCATTCATATTTATTATTGGCCGGCCATACAGGTCTTTTGGCTGGCCGATAGATATATTGGCTGGCTGGACAGGATTTTAGCCAGGAAAGGAAATTTGACCAGACGGTTGTCTAACCAGACAACCGGCACTTCAATTCAATTCTACCGGCTGTAATGGCTATTTTCAAAGTTTAACTTTGCAACGGCCATCTCTTGAACGTGAAGAACGAATGGGCCATGTCAGACAGAACAGAGCACTGAGCTCTACTATACATACAGAGTAGCAAAGCTCTTGCTTACACTGTCATATTTATCTAATATTATTTGTGATAATTATCTGATTTTTCTACTGTTCTAATTAATGTATTAGTTTGTAATTTTCATTGGGGCTTATTTATTTTAATCTATAGAAATCTAATTTACCCCCTTTTAGGTTTGCTTTTTGAGTAACAGGTTGAAATATATATATATATATATAAATATTATGTATTCATTGTAAGGAAATGACATTGACTGTTGTGTTATTTTTATTTTTTTTTATTTTATATATATATATATTTTTTTACAAGATCAAAATTTTATTTTATTTATTTATTTAATAATTTTTTATATATTTTTAATTATTTAAACACTGCAAGTTATTTTTTTATTTTTGTTTTTTAAAATTTGACTATCGGGTGGGCTGAATCAAGCCCAATTTTTTTTTGAACTAGACCGAGCTAATGGGCCTCAAATGAAGGACCCAAACCCAAGCCCAAGATACTGGGCTAAACTGGGTCAAACCTAGACCTAATCAAGCCAAAACAAATTAGGCTCACCTCGAGTCTAGAGCAGGTTTCGGACAGCTTCGGTGCTCGGGCCATTTTTATAGCCCTATCTCCCACTAACAACGATGATTCATCCCACTAAAAACATCACCACTAATAGCACTAATACATTAAAAAAGTAAAAAAAAAAAAAAAAAACACAACTCCAAGACCAAAACATCACATCATTAATGACGAAACCCACTACCACCTAATTAGTGAGAGCACTAACTTAGGACTCCCAAGCATTTTTCCTTCCACTAATTACAAATTTCGTTTCCAACTTCAACTCTCGATTTCATTGCAAACCCTAGTCCCAGACTCGCAATTCACTCCCTCCCCACCATTCCTAATTTCTACAAAAATCACAGAACCCTTAACGATGCCATTCATATTGGATGCTGCGAGTGCCATAAAAAGTCGATTCGGGTTCCAAGACCAGTTTTTGGAGTCGATGCCGTCGGTTCGAAGCTCTCCTGACCTCTTGAAATCGGCGTCCCATGATAATCTCTACCAGTCCTCGGCGGTTAGGGTTTTCGACAAGAGAGATGATCTGGGCGCTGGACCGGTGACCAAAGCTTTGATTTGAGTGAAGATTCTTCTTTCTAGAAAGATCACAATGTTTAGGTACTGATTTGGAATTGTTTTTTCTCCGCATTTTGTTTGGTTGTCGAGAAAATGTAGGTTGAGAAAACAAGTATATGCCTCAAATTGAACTCTGAATTAGCATAATACAACTACTTCGCTTAGTTTAGGTCAGATTTTGTGTTTTTTATTTTTTTTTATCAGTTGAATTTGTGAAATCATGATCAAGTAGTTACCTTTAGCAACTTTTAACTCTGCTGAGAATTTTTTGGTGTGGATAGCTATGAAACATGCAGTCACATTGGGCTTGAAATAGAAAGGATTAGGTCATGATCAAATCAATCACTTTTTCCAAAACTCTATCTCAAAATAATTTTCCAAAACATCTTTTAAAAAAAACCAAACCAAACATGTTTTCGTACTTTTTATCTGTAAAACACATCTCTCAAACACAAACCAAACATACCCTGTGTTTTTTATTTTTTTTTATCAGTTGAATTTGTGAAATCATGATCAAGTAGTTACCTTTAGCAACTTTTAACTCTGCTGAGAATTTTTTGGTGTGGATAGCTATGAAACATGCAGTCACATTGGGCTTGAAATAGAAAGGATTAGGTCATGTAATACGTTGATGGATAATTGCTGTGGTTTAGATAACTGAACATGTCCAAATTAATCTTATACCTATTGATAAAATACTGCTTGAAGTTCTGAGTTTTTCCGCTACTATTTACGATGTGTTTGATTAGGGGATTTGAGGAGGATTTGGAAATGAAAAAAGAAAAGGAAAATGCTATGGACCCCAAATGAATTACCAAATTTTTTATTAATCCTCTCATATGGTGTGGGACTCACACAAGTCACATGTGTGTGGGTCTCCACCCAAATGTAAGCGGTTTGGTAAAAAAATTTATAATTTAGTTGGTTCCATAGGGATGGCAATTTGAACCCGGCCCGACGGGGACCCGATCCCCTGATCCCGAATTAAGTGGTTTTTTCTCAAAAAATATCTCCGACGGGACGGGGATGGTATTAAAAAATCAATCCCTGATCAATTTCGGGCCGGGGACGGGGATAAATGTCCAAGCCCAGTACCCAGCCCGGCCCCGTCCCCGCCCCCACCTCAGTTTGTTCCCCGAAGTAAAATTACAATTTTACCCCTATATATATATATAAACCAGACCTAAAACATTACACACTCACTCATACTCAACACACAGAGACGAGACGACCACTGCTGCTCTCTCCTCTCTTTCACCGACGCTCCTCCCTCACCGTTGCTGTGCTCCCTCATCGCCGATCCTCCCACTCTCTCTCACACATCCGACGGCGATAGCTCATCCTCTCTTTCTCAGCGGCATCGCGGCGGCAACTCCTCTCTCTCTCACGGTATCTCCTCCTCATTAGTTACTCTCTCTCTCTCTTTAATTTTTGCTTTTGTTCTTCAGATCTGGAAAATAATGAAGATGAAGATAAAGATGTTGTTGAGCTCAGATCTACTTTTTTTTTTTTTGATAAATAAACTCAGATTTGTTGTTGATCTAATATGTAAGATGATGTGTTAGATGATGAAGCTCAGATCTGCTTAATGTGTTAGATGATGTTGTTGTCGATGATGTTGATGTTGTAGTTGATGAGTTCTTGTATTTTTTGGAATTGATTTTTGTTCTTTTTTTTTGGCCGGGGAGTTTTCGGGGTCGGGGAAACCCGATCCCCGTTAGGGGCGGGGGCGGGGGCGGTGATAGGTTCCCCGCCGAGGATCAAGGCCGGGGACGGAGAATGTGATCCCCGGCCCCGCCCCATCCCGTTGCCATTCCTAGTGTCCCTAGCATAACTCAAGGAAAAAAGCGTGTGAAACTAGGTAAAATGTGAATAAAATCTGGGAGATTTCAAAAAACTCTCTTTGTAATCTTCTATTTTGTAATTTGTATTTTGAAGATCTGGTATTTTGAAGTAATGATTTCTAGTTTGTAATAAACAATAAACAATTGTAAGTTACTCTCATTTTAGTCTATTTTTGTTTTGATTACAAATTTATTTAGTTTGCTTAATTTTCTATTTAAATAAAATATTTGCTAGTTCTGCATTTCCTTTGAAAATGGCTCCGTTTGGTAGAGCTGTGGAAAAGTGATTATAGATTATAGCTTAACATATTATGACTTATAACTGTGAACATAAGCTGTTAACCTGTTTGGTGCAGCCGTGAGATTATGGATTTAAGCAGCAGAGTAGTGCTTGGTTAATTAGCTGTAAAATAGCTCTTTACTGTATAATTGTCCTTTCTGTCGTTATATGATATAAAAATGATTATTTTGTCATTTTTTCCAATTTTAATTTAAAAAAAAATATTTCATTAATAAAAGTTAATATAATTAGTATTAATTAGTATCAATTAATATAAAAATTGATACATTTGCTAAAAATGTAATGGAAGTATTATTGGCACAATTATTTTCCATTATAAATTAATTAGTATCAATTAATTGCTAAATTAATATCAATAATACTAAAATTATTAATGTATCAATTAATGCTTAATTAGTCTCAATTAATATTAAAATATTAATTAGTATAAATTAGTATTAATATTTAATTTTTATTAGTATCAATTAATATTAATAATCAACAATTGTTATTAATTAGTATCAATTAATAATTAATTATAGAAAAGTATACAATATTAATTTTTAATAATTAATACCAATTAATGATTTTTTTTAATTAATATTGATTTTTTCTTTTTCTTCAGAAATATACAATTTTTTATTTTTTATTTAATATAAAAATATACAATATGAATTTATTAATAATTAATACCAATTAATATTTATTTTTCACATTAATATTGATTTTTTTCTTTTTCTTCAGAAATATACAAATTTTTATTTTTTAATTAATATTAATATTTGGGTATTAACGAGGGCATTTAAGTAATTTTAACCCCCCACACCAGTTGCATGCTTAAGTTAAAAATTTAAGCACCCTTGAGCAGCTGTTGAGATAAGCTGAGAAATAGTTTGATTTAAGCTATAAGCTAGTTAACTTATGCTGCCCCAAACACAATATTTTAGCTTAAATTAAGCTAAAGTTTTGAAATAAGCAGCTTATAAACTCTACCAAACAGGCCTAATATTTGCTAGTCCGCTTTCCCCTTATATTTCACCTACATTTTCTCTTTTTCTTTCCAAATTCCTTTCCAAATCTCCCAATCAAACACAGCGTTAAGAAATTTGATTAACACAGAAACAACTTGGTTTTAGCCTTTAAGAGGAGAGATTTTTTAAATGAAGTGATACAGAAGAACTTTACAGATTTGATGATTAAAAAGTTCTTTGATTCATATGGTTCATTATCCAGCAAAATTGAAACTGTACTAATCTGAAAATTATGTAGCTCCTTTAAAATGATATTAGATATTTCATGGTTCAGAGAGTACGACATAATGATAACCTATATTCAATACTGATTTAACTTGGTTTTGTTTTCATTTATCAATTTATTTTGTTCTATTTTTTGTTTATGATATGCAGGTTATAATAAAAGTACGTCCTCTGAGTAGTTCTGAGATATCACTACAGGGATATAGTAGATGTGTTAGACAAGATAGCTGCCAGACAATTACTTGGACTGGGCATCCAGAATCACGTTTTACCTTTGATGTTGTTGCCGATGAGAATGTTAGCCAGGTATACTCTAATTACTATTATTTCTTTTTTTTCGTCGTTAATAATCTTTGTTATGTCACAGACTTCATTTCAATGATTGATCAGGAGAAGCTATTTAAAGTGGCTGGGGTGCCAATGGTAGAAAATTGACTTCTTTGATAGGTTGCATTCTCATGTGCCATATTTTTTGTTGTTTTGAACGTAGACTGGAAGTGGAAAGACACAATGCTTGGGGACATTGAAGGGGGCACCCAAAGACGTAGTGTCAATTGTGGGATGACACCAAGAGTCTTTGAATACTTATTTTCAAGAATTCAAAAGGTATGTGTTGGTTGAATTAAAATTACTTCTAAGGTTTTAAATTGAAACTGGCAAAGAATCTTAATTTTAGGATTAGAAGAAATATTTTCTTCAACATGACCTCACTAATTCATTATGGTCTTCTGGGTTGTCAAGCACCCCAAAAAAAAAAAAAAAATTCCCAATTTTTTTTTTTTTTGACATTGACATTGAAATGATTTTAAGAACTTCTTCATATGGGAAATTTTTTGCCTATGATATGTTCATCTGTAGTTATAGAGAAATATGGGCATTATGGGTCTATGGAATAGTTTTCTCATGGTAGAGGTATCTTCCCTCTTTTTTCCCTAAAGTTTCTTCGTTACAATTGGAGATCTCCCTTAGTTATAAATCTGTAATAACTCAGACTTTTATTTTTGTACCAAGCCTTTAGATATGTAAATAAGTGGCTTTTGCATAATGCAAAATTTTACTTTTTCCAACCTTTATCCAGTTCTTAAATTGAATTTCTTTTTCTTATTTTTGTGGATTAGTTCCTTCTATATCATGCCAAGATTCTAATGCAATGTTTCATGTTTTAATCGTGGTGTGGTAGGAAAAAGAGGCACGAAGGGAAGAAAAGTTAAAAAATTTGGATAAATTACCAATAGATCCTAATAATTGGACTTAATTCCCATCAAGTTCTATTGAAAATAAGTCTTAGTAAAATTGTCGTTAAAAATAATTTTTTTGTGACAATTTTTATATATGTTGCTACAAATTGACGATTAGTGATTTTTTTTTTGTCATGATTTTTATAAATTGTTGCTAAAACTTACAATTAGTGACTTTTTTTATGACAAATTTTTCTCATAGGACTTGTTAGACAATAAGTTCACTTATTAGAACCTACACATAAGAACTCCTTAAAATTTTCCTGTAAATGTTCTTTCTTAGAAATATATAATGAACAAATTCTTGATCCGTTAGATCCATCCTCCACCAATTTACAGGTACTGATCACTAACATGTTGAAATTTCCATCTATTTGTTTCTTCTAATCTTTGTTCTAAATATATATATATATATATATATATATGTTTATTTTTTCTACATTGAATTGATTGCTCAAAAAGCTTTGATCTCAACCTTGTAGATAAGGGAAGACACCAAGAAAGGGGTTTATGTGGATAATCTCACTAGGCTAAAGTTACATGCACTTGAGATGTGATTCAACAACTTGTGCAAGTATGTAATTAGGTTCATTTTATAAGAGGGGTTAACTTGAGCCCACTAATTAATTAGGCTCAATCGAAGCCCAATCGAAAAGCCCAAAAATTAGTGAGCTTGGTGAAATTATTACTAAATGGGCCAAGTGAATTATATTGAACGGGCCCATAAGAAAGCCAACAAATTGGGCCGAGAAAGACCCATCAAGCATATATCTCTAAAAAGAGTTCAAACAAGCCCATCCGAGGAGGCTCAGATCATATGGGCATCTAAGGAGGTTAACCGTTGTTTTCAAAAGAGATAAAACCCTCGGAGGAGATCCATTATCTGAGGTATTGGCTTAGTCTTGAAAGGGTTCGGAACCATGAACCTAAAGATCTATTTGAGCTCGGACTCGAAAAGGTTTGGATCCACGAACCTAGAGATCCGAAGCACTTGGCTTCGAATAAATTCGAACGCAATCTAGAAGTCGCTCCGTTAATGAGTCCCAAAACACTTGCGGGCTCGGAGCTTTCTAAGATCTACGCACTAGAACCATGGGCGTAATGGAGTTCGAACAAAGGACCTGATCCCGAGGACGGTGAGTGGAGATAAATTCACTCTTCGGTTAAACTAGCCTATACTCGGGTCGAGGAGGCACGATCTAGGGGGTCCCTGAGACTCAGCACTATTTGCGGCAGGGCGTTCTCTTGAACTACCCCTGACCCTTTGGGATGATTGGGGATCATTAGTTAGGTGTGGCTAAGAAGAAAGGTTCGCCGATAGGTTGATCTCCTCTTCAGGGTTTTTCTTATCCTTGGAGAGGTCACCTCCTCGGACAATGTGGTTAGAGAGAATATTCTCTATGTGCCTTACACATGGGCTCCGTCCTGCATCACAAGGTGCCTATAAATAGCACCTACCCATACCTTTACAAGGGATGGATTTTTGGAGAGATAACTCTTGGGAAAGAACTAATTTCCCTTCTCCATTATCAACCTTAGGAGTGAAAGTAGGAGATCCATAGGAGAGCCTTGTCATTATTCTCTCTTTAACTACTTTACCTTCTTCTTCACCTAATCTCTTATCTCCATCATCTTTTTGTTTTTGTGTTCTTAGTTGTGACTATTGAAGAATCTAAGCCTCTCATCATTTCTTTAGAATTTGAGTTTTCTTCAAAGATCTTCAAAGATCTTCGAATTTTCCAATAACATTCTTGAACCCTCTCATACATTTGGTAACTCTACTGGGGAGGCGGATTGGTTAATGGTCTCAACAAAATCCGAAATCTACACAACTCCGGTGAAGATGGCGGGAGAATAACAAGTTCACCAACAGGGCTCTTCCAATGGTGGTGATAAGAGGACTCAAGTTCAAGACCCACCTCTCATCCTTGAAGCCATTCAAGGACTCCCACACACTCAATAACAGATTCTCACAACCCTTCAAAATCTTACCCACACTATGTTGGTCATTGGTTCGAATTTCGCACCACTAGCAACAAATGGAGGTCAAATTGGTGCCGGCACGCATCAACAACTCCATGGTGATGTTCGGAATGGTCAAAACCATCAAGACCCACCCCCAATTCTCCTTGAAGTTGCTCAAAATGGTGTGCAAAATCAAGTGCTAGGAGGAACAAGTCAACCTGTGGCCCATGTAGCACAAAATTACGCACTTGGAGGATCGAGCCATGGTCCATCGGCGATTTGAGGAGTTTTTGGTGCGATGAATGGTGTTCCAGTGGCTATGGAAGTTCAAGGAAGGTCCAAAAAAATTTTCTACAAAATGATGCTCCGCCCACGCCTAATCTCGTTCCACCAACAATACATGCTACCCACGTACCAAGCGGGTCTCCTTTAGCTCCGACGCTGAGTTTGTAAGCCCAACTCGATATAGCCGTGACGTGCAATGGACTTTATGGGACCCAATTCAATGTCCCATCACCAAATGGCTTGTCCATAGGTGCCGATAGCTAATATCATCATGTGTTTTCACCGATGGTGAATTCTCAACACCCAAATAGCCAAGTCACTCCAGGCTCGGTTTTCAGGTCTACAAACCAAGTTCTGGAAATACCACCATCAAGTTCTCTTCCTCAATAATTTCTCACTCTCACCAATGTGCAAGCCATGTTCGATTTCGAACGGGGAAAAAGAACTTTACCCTCTTTGCCCGATCCGGATGTCAAGCCACCATACCCTATCGAGATGTTGAGTTATCCATACCCAGAGGGGTATACAGTGCCGAAGTTCATCAAATTCGATGGCAAGCAAGGAAATGCTCGAGAACATGTTGTTCGGTTTATCGAGACTTTGGGGGTTCATGGTTCAAATCATGTCCTCCGATTGAGAGCATTCTCTAAGTCCCTCACTGACCGAGCATATAGTTGGTACGTTAACTTGGTCCCAAACTCTATTCGAAGTTGGGAGGAGATGGTCAACAAATTCCACGCCAAATTCTTTCGGGTGGCCGAGAAAGTGACCACACTCACCCTGTGTAAGGAAAAACAGCGGGAGAGTGAAGACATTCTCAAATATTTGAAGAGGTTCCAAGACAAAGTCGTGGACTGTCATGAGGCTGTAGAAGAAAGCTACTTGGTCCAAATCTGTGTTGAAGGGGCATTGAACGGGTACAAAATGCTTGTTATTAATCACAAGTTACCCACTTTCTCGGCACTAATTGAAGCATCTTGAAACATCAACATACCTCAGTCTCAGGAGATCGAGTTCGACACTAGTTATAAAACCAGCTTCAAGACGTCCCGAGGACCTTTTGTCACTGCGGCTTCCATGTCTTCTACCCAAAAGTCACAAAGGGAGGAATTCAAAGGTCAGAAGAGCAAAAACTACGAAGATGACACTCATTTTCCATGTAATGTTGAGGAGGTGAAGGCCTTAGTTAAAGAATAGGTGGCAAACGGAGAATTGAAGTTGCCTCATGTTGAAAACTTTTCCCAAAGAAAGACCGCAGGGGCCCTTATTATTTTGTTTTTCACCAATCACTAGGACATCCTACAGAAAAGTGTCAGACGCTTAAGAAGATCTTTAGAAAGAAATTCGAAGCAGATGAGCTAGAGTTCAAAGAACAGGGGCCTCAGGATATCTTAGAAGACGTGGCTATGATGGCGTATGACGGCCACAACCCGAGTAGCTGGTAAAAGTTTTCCGAATGACCTTGCAACTCTAGGGAAAATGTCAACATTCCGTAGAAGAAGTCTATCTATGACATTTACAATTTGTATTTATTGTATTGTCCAAGAAGTTTTATCTTTCTTTCTTATGTTATGAAGAAATTTATTTTCTCCACATTGTGTATCTCCATTAGAAGTTTATTTTCTCCAATATTGTGTATCTTCATTATGTTATGTTGCTTGAGATAGTTTTTAATTTTTGTTGCCCCTCGAAAAAGAAAGAGGAATAGTAAACTTGGTTACCAACCTGAAGGGACCTTTCTTGACGCAGTAGAAGTGCACTTCCACTCGGACCTCTGAAGAGCAGTCATTGCTTCCATCAATGCAAGCTTCGAGGGTTTTTCTTGCTGAAGTAGAGCGCGTGCTCCCGCTCGGACTTCCGAAGAACATCCCTTATTTCCATCAATGCAAACTTCGAGGGTCTTTCTTGTTGAAGCAGAGTGTGTGTTCTCACTTGGACTTCCGAAGAATAGCCCCTGCTACCATCAGTGCGAGTTTCGAGGATCTTTCTTGTTGAAGTAGAGTGTGTGTTCTCATTTGGACTTCCGAAGAATAGCCCCTGCTACCATCAGTGCGAGTTTCGAGGATCTTTCTTGTTGAAGTAGAGTGTACTCCTATTCGGACTTTCGAGGGACAACCT